TCGGTTTGTGCACTTGCTACCAACATCCAGGAACAGAAAAAAATCACTTTGCTGTGGGGTCAGCAGCTGAACCAAAAGAATTTCATCAACGCCCCCCCCTCCCCCAAGAAACTTTAAAAAAGCTGCCACCTACTGGCCCCCAAGCAAAATCACTACTAGTGCTGCTACTACTGCTGCGATCCAAGCCCAAGCCGAAATCCCTTGCAGTTGTGTTGCCACCAAGTTGCTCCACCTAGGAGGCGAATGGAGTTCCCGGAAGATCTTGGGGAACTCAGTGCCGACTCCTCCATCAGCTTGGACTCTTGGGGAGTCTATAACATGGTAGGGTGCCTTTGCTGAGATCGTTATGGGAGTGTAAAGCTGAAGATTCCAAATTTTGTGTGTGTGTGTTGGGCAGTACACCCTGCTGCAAGCTCTCCTTTCAGGTTTAGGAGCGAGGCAGTAATTCGAGACATAGAATGACTGTTGTACAAGACCGCAGACGCGATTTGCACACCTACAGCCCACCTCCAACAAACCTTCATCTAGTCCCAAACTGAATCCAATCCAGAACTTGGCCCATGCCTTCCTCCCCTCCCAAGATTACTCGTTGCTGCGGTCTCCTTCTGCTCTGGCCGCGCGTCCAGGCTCCTGAAGACTCGTGTCACCACAATATCACTCTCTCCAGGCCGCTGCAGGATGTAGCCTCAGTTTGCGCGGATGGGAGCAACAGGATATGTAGGGTTGAGGCTTCAGGGAATCTTGGGGAAAAACTGAAACTACGACTGTAGATTGTGTTCTCCACAACCCAGCTCAGGCCGAATTCCAAGCACGGCCACATCCAGGTTCTGTTAGAAGCCGTAGGCCCTCAACTCAAGATTGCCCAGACCATCAACATTATAGTAGTTTCCATTATATTTTCCATTATCCCATTATAACCCCAATATTATAGTAGTTTCCATTTTATTTTCCATTATCCCATTATTGGTTGTTTTTTGTTTGCAGCTGGGACGCGCTCACGCAAAGACCCCTGAGCAGGGTCAGGGCTAGCACATGTTTAGCTTCCAAACAAGAAGCTGCTTACTGTCACAAGAAGGTGTACCAAGGCCTGCCTCTTGGAGGAGGGTAAAGCCTTAGATCGCAGATACTTCCTTGTGCCTGCATACTCGATCACCATACCAAGGACCAAGGACAGGATTCGAAGAGTGAACTCGTTGGTTCCAAACGAGTCAAGATTCTTTGCAGGGAGTGCCAGCCGTCCCCGCGCTGGAAAAGTCTGCACTTCACTGTCAGCTCGGGCAGGCCCTCCGAAGTCTCTTCAAATGCGGAGAGCATGAATTTCTTGCGCTTGTTTCGCGTCTCTTTCCTCAGCGATATGGCTCCAGCTCATGCCGAGCTCGCAAGATCCGGTTTCAAGATGCGGTCCTTCCTGCAAAACCACCCATCTAGTTCATCTGAGCGTCTCAACTTCTAGACCACCCAGCTCGATGGTCGTGCTGTTCTCCCCAAAGAGCGTCCTTCTTGAAAAGAAGCTTTGCACGTGCTACGTCATGCCAGTGACCGTCTTGTCTTCTTTATTTCGGCGGGCAACGGCATCTGCAAATTATCTCATTTAGATTCCGGTAAAGGTACACATGTGGGGTTATCCGGTCCTTCAATTTTGGTGAATCATACAGAAATTGCAACCATTATTGGCCACTGCTCTCCGGAATCATATGAGAATTATTTCAGCCAAGGTGACCCATGTCTGTCTGGAGCCTGAGCCATCCTGTGTCCCTATGTACAGGCCAGGGTGCTTGTCAACAACTGTGAGGATCTTCTCCTCCACTCCTGCAGACTTCTTCTGCCGGTGTGTACTTCTGAAATGCGGAAAGATCTGGACATACTGAAAACACTGGCTCTTCACCCAAACACAAACGCATGCCTCCCCCGTGCATCGTCTGATCCAAACTCCGAACCGAAATGTACTATCGACATTTCGAAGAGAGCGGCAAGTCTCACTGCTGGCGGGATGCTGATATGGAGATCTACTGGGACGTGGTCGATGATCCTCACGGTCAGCACCACTTTGGGCAGTCAACTCTGGATAAGAAAGAAGCTGCCAGCTTCCCTCTTTGGTATGATAGTAACTATATTGCACCTGTTTTCCACCAGCCACCGCCGCCGCCAACGGCGGCAGGGTTCTTGCTCCCGGTTTCATGACTTCGTCTTCGAGTCGTAGCACTAGTAGCACTTTTAGTACGCTGTAGGTTCTTACGATAAAAGTTTCGTCACCAAGAAATGAAGCTATTAGGGTCTGAAGTCTCAACTGATTTAGAAATCTAGGGTCTGGATTCTGGATCTGAGAAACATCAACAATGACAAGCCTATGTTTAAAATGAGCACTACATGTACACATGCATGTGTGTGTGTGTCTAACTCGGTGGAAAGCACTGGGGCTCATTGCGATAACCTCACATGGATCAAGTTGCAAAACGCTCAAAAATGTCTCTCCCTGTTGGTCTCTATAATGAGGAGCCCAGCAAAGGGCAAACCAAGGGTAAAAAGACATCGTTCTTGGGGGTCGAATCCACGAATACGTCACGTGATTTCTCCTACTGCCTGCTCGGATAAGAAGTGTCCCAGACCTTCAACCACAAAGGCCGATTTTTTATCCTAAGCATATGAAAACTTCTATGATTAGAAATGCCTTTTTGGGGGTCCCGTTCATAAAGATTAAAATATTTTGGAGTCTATGTTGGGGTCCCCCTACTTATGGAAACTACCAAATGCCCGAACCCTACAGAACAGTCCTAGCCACGAAGCCAGGTAATCCGAGGCCGGCGAAGTAGGGCCGCATGGACTCACTCCTCGCCTGTATCAGGGGACTTAATAATAACGGACAAGATGGAACCCACTAGGGTTTAGGGTTTAGGGTATTAAATCATGTAGGGTTTAGGGTTTAGTTGAGGATTAGTCTTGGGGCTTAGTTTTGGGTAACTTAAAAGGTTTTTTTTACAACCCCTCGTTTACCTTAAGGAAAAGAGTGAAGGATGTAGGGGCTTAGGGCTCTCTGTTTCTTGCATGCCTTACGGATATAAGAACTTCTTAGACAAGGACCCCAGTGGGTCGTGACAAGGAATCCTCTCTTCACCCTCAGTATCCGTTTGGCAACCATGTCTCGGATATTCATTGTGGTGGTTTCCCAACTTTGGGATATTATTTTGGCTGTCCCAATAATGAGTCTAGTATTTTGGGGTTTAAATTAGGGCCCCCTGATTTTGGGAAACTACCTTGTGGCTGGCAATGAACAGTTTGGTCGATTTGCTGACCAAGGGGGTAGGAAAACCTAGTCACCAATGTCATTTGAGTGGCGCTGTAGGCTTATGGCAAGGAATACTGAATTAAAGGGCTGCAGGAATTTCAGGCTGGCTACCCCCGAAGTTGCATTTTTCTGCCCACCAGGCTGTATTTCCGCCTCCTCAAACTCATCAACAACAATTGTGCCTTTGGGACCTGTACGACCCTTCAGATAGGTAGGTATTGAGATTAACAAGGGGGCCCTCACAAAAAATACTCAAGGACTGTTTGGAGAAACTATTATCTGAAGGTGAAAAAAATCTTTACCACCTGCTAATTTGCTAGCCCTTCGTGTGACACCGCTTTCTGCTACTCCCACATACCTGCCCGACATTTCATGAATTCTCGCACGCCACCTCCTTGCACCGTTCTTGGGGCGCGAATACGTGTACATGTGTACATGCTTAAACTAAGATGGTAAACGGTCTTTCTGTGTATTGCTGTGCCCGCTATTCCCTTAAACCACGCTCGTAAGAAATTATGATTCCTCCCAGTCTTTGGCCTTGTCCAACCGCCACCGGCCAGTTGGAAGCGGCGCCACCTCACCTTAACTGGCCCAAACCTGTGGAGTGCAGAGAAGCCCGTACTGTTATTGGCGGCCATGTCAAGGCTTAAAATGGCTCGCGAGGCTAGCTTCACCAAGCGTGGCGATGGGTACCAAAAGCGTGCGTGTTCTTCACCAACAAACATTGATATAGCGTCCAACACGCCAAAACGTGAGGACGCAGACTTGCTTGCAAACTTGTGGCATTGCGTCCCTGACATCGTTCCACCGCCGATCGCGAGCACGGCTAGCGGCAGGCGTCGCAGCCAAAGCCGACAACGCTCAGACTGGCCTCCTCTCGGTGTCCTCACACAAGCAAGGTGATCAGCAAGGTGCCCACTTTAATCTGGTCTCATGGGTCGCGCTGCCTCCAGCTCCTCATCATCGTTGCAGCCGCAGCATGGTGCCAATGGACGGCTACTCTGCACCTGCTGTGATCAGACACCGAAACAGCATCACAGCTGCTCACGCCATGAGCAAACAAACTAGTGGCCTCAGCAGAATTTGCCGGCGAGCCACTCCCATGCAACTCATTGTGAGCTGAAGGACGTTAGCACGTGCACATTTGCTCGTCTGCAGGTGTCTTGTGTCTTGTGATGTCTGATGGCTGCGTCGCAGCTGTTGATGGGTCCTGAATTCGCTGGTCACACGCTCTGCGACCGCACAGCCTGCGTTGCACACTCGGATACATCGTAAAAAGTAGAGGCTGTAGGATTTGCTGAAGTTTAGAAACCATGTAGATTGTGTTGAGGTCCCCCTGTAACAATATGCTACCGCCAATGTTGTAAATGATGAAATCGAGAGTAGCAAAAGGTGGCTCAACTCAGAGGAGGACAAGAAAAATCAATGATCATCATGCATGCAGGTCGATTCATTGCGCGATATCATCGTTACCTAATGGCAAAGTGGACACCTGGTGCCCAAGCATGGTGGTTTGTGGAAGCCGATGACGAGCTAGTCTCAGGGAACCATCGTCAGGATGAAGCCCTACAAAAGTAAAAATCCATAGGGCTGCGGGCCATCTGCAAAAATGTACCGTTGTTGTCCGGATACGAGCTCCAACCGGAATCTGGAACCCATTCCTTGTTGGCCTTAGACTGAAACTTCATGCTGGCACGTTCGGACAGAACAGGATTGGCCTAAAACTCGCATGTTCAACCGATTCAGGCGCGGGCTGCAGGGTACCAGAGAGCTATTAAGGCTAAGGCAGCTGCGATCTTGGCAGTGCCGTTTTAGCCACCGCCACAGCAACGAAAACATGTGAAACTTGATACAGCGCGCCCACCATGGCCCCCAAGCATGACAAGTACAACAATTGTTCGTCGGAAGCAGCTGCTTCTACAAGCTGACACGCCAGATAACTTTAAAGCACGCAAGTATGGAAAAACTATACCTGCAGCCATTCAAGTGCGCCGTGGGACCCTGCGTCGTTGTTCCAACCAAGGTGGCATCAACACAGGTGCTCTCATTGGCGCTGCGGTCTTTGCTGGAGTCATCTCCTTTCAGGGAATTAAAGTGATAATGTGCGGTAGTGTCCACGTAGCATATTCATTTTTTGGTCGAATAAAATGCTGTCGACATCCAAAAACTCAACTACATGTACTTCCAATGGAATCCTCACGGCCGACCTGCGCATTTCTGGGGCCTGCTAATTTTTAGTCGTCCCCTGAATTTCTCACGTCTTGCCATGTGCTTGCACTGTCTTACACGATACCACGTCTACATTATTAAGGCTGCCTACATGCTTGTTACAACGGCCAGTGGAGGACACACCCTCCAGACATGCTTCTCAGCAACAGCAAGCATCACCTTGGTTGCCGTCTCCGCGACCCCCTTGTTGCCGGCATCCTGGTCCAGAAACTGTATGTTGGCATCTGCAACTACCGCAAAACGACTCAGAGACAGTGGTGTCCTCCGATGCTTCTTCCTTGACAGAAGCATCTTCTCCCTCCGCGTCTGCCTGCGTCGGCAGGGCTTTGGTTGGTCCGCACACGTTCACATGCACGCCCGGCTCTGCCTCTGGATCTTCCTCTATCTCGGTTGTGTCCTGGCTAGCTCTCGAAAACAGGATTCTACAAATTGTTTGAATACATTGGAGTTCCACGTCCGCAGCATCCCCAGCGCTCAACCCGGGCATAACTTCAAGAGTAAGAGTAGAGCAGCGCCACTGAAAAGAGATATCACAGCGCATAAGCCACTCCCGCCCCTTCCTCAGCATTTTGTTGCTGAACCTCCTGCTTTGCATTACTCGAAGCTGCCTGCATGGTATGGCAGCCATGACTGGCGGAATACACATCCACCATCCACTTGGGACAGGCAACTTTTCTGTTTTTTGATACATGCAGTCAGCCTCACACAGCTTTCGGAACCTCCAATTCCATGTTCCTGCTAAAACCCTCATCTCCCACCCGAACCACAGCAGCACCCCACATCAGCAGAACCATTGGAGTTTGGCTTTTTTACAGTTTCTCACTGGGAGCTTCTAAGGTCCAGCACTGGAATCCATCTTTCCAAGTCAGATCGTGCCTCTCCCGTAGCAAGCTTGGAGCTGTGCATCTTCTGGAGCTGCACTGCCACTTACTGTTGATTTGCCCAAGGACAAAGCAAGCAGACGCAGTGTAAGCTCATACATCATCATGTTCAAATCCCATGTCCTTGCCCCTGCATCACGTACTCACTCGCAAGCAGTGAAAGTGAATTTGGCTGCAAACCAAGCATTGCAAACAACAGCCACATATCTTGGGTCAAAGAACCTGAAACATTCCGCCGCTTGAAAATCATGTTCGGTGCTCAAGAAACCACAGACGGGCCGCCTCCTCCGAGGCAAACTTGGACGGCACGGCCTTGACATGCGCGCAAATAACACTGAGCTTCACATCAAGGAAGGCACGTCACCTGCCCTAGCATGACGAAACGGGTTGCAGCCACACATCAAGACTCTTCAAGCTTCCAGATCCAATTACTTAGCCCCGCAGCCAGTCCGGCCTCATCCTTACTTTCAGACATGCCAAGCCCTTCTAGATACCGGCGTGCCCTTCCAAAACATGAGTGTCTTCTCACACGGCTCTGACTGCGTGGCCACTGTCCCTCGCCGACCGCTGCAGCACCACAGAGCAAGGACCTGTCCAGGTTGCGTCACAGGACCATCGAACTCTGATGTTGCGCATCTCTCAGTGCACACCAGCCCCTGAGCACGAGCGCGCCTGGGACAAGAAGAAGTCCATGGCAAACGCTTCTGATCTTGAACACTAAGCCCAACACCCTTCTGCACAGGTAACCTGAAATGTCTTCTATGGCCCTGCAGATGCACCGTAGATGACAACAGATGAACATGGAGCAAAACCCTTCTAGCAATGCTTAATGTCCAACAAAGCGTGTTTGAAAGTTGCTTGCGTCCCTTGTTACGGTCCGAGGATTTCGTGCAGTGTAGCAGCAAAGGCATGCATTTGCCCAAGGAACATGTTCATGTGCAGTACTGCCTTCGTTTACCAACCAACGCTGGAGCCAAAGTAGGGGCGCTCGAAACCATTTGCCTCAGGCGTTCTGCAACTCTCCTCTGGACTCGTTGGTAGATGTCATGCTGCTCTGGGGGCAATGCATCGCATCCTTGATCATCCCTGCCTGCCGTTGCAGTGCTGGACATCAAGTCTGGCCCCTTTTTCTCATCCTGTCGCACTTAGAGTAGCTCGAAGCAGGTTGTGTCCCAGAGAGCGTCTTTGCAAGGCTGGGTGTGGACCGACACCAAGCCCTGGAGGGCGGGGGAGGTCTGGCGCACCCGCAGATCGGGGCTTGTTCTGTTCAACCTAGTTTGAGGACTTCCACAAGGGCACTGCTTCAAAACATGGAATCACATTCAAAAATCGCTTGCTCAGGTCTTTGGGGGCACAACAGCAATGCAGGCCGAAAGTGGTTGTAGGAGCATCCTCGGCACAGAAGCCAATTGCGCCGGCATCAGCGCGCCCTGGAACCTGAATGCCTAAATCCCTGATCCGCAAGCCCTGACCCTTAAAGCTGAAAGGGGCCATTGGAATTCAACCTGCAGGCAAAGGTTTACGGGCTCACATCCGGCTACTGTATTCGAAAGATTGACCAAGTTTTCCTTGCAGTTTTTGAAGTTCAGGATTGCGAAGCCTTCACAATTCAAAGATGCTCAGCCAGAACTGGCCGAGAGAATGAAGCTCAGCCACGCTCAGCCTGGAGGGCTTAGGGATACTACCAAGAAGTACATGTTGGGGTTATACTGGGGTTCTTCTGAACCCTGATAATTAGGTTGCCCGCACAGCTGCTTATACCAATCTCTATTCAAGTGCTGTTTAGCTGCGAGCGCTCTCCGAGCACTGCAACTCCAACTGCAGTCCCAGCATCGTGTCAGGGACAGGCTGCCTTTGCGTCTGAGCCAAGGTCAACAGGAATCAAAATCCAGCGTGCTCAGAGGGACTTTAGGAGCCTTTGTGGTAGGAGTTTGCAGTGCCTCCCAAATCCGAAAACCCTGGAACCCTAAAACCCCCAATCTCAGGTTCAGGGTTTGAGATTCAGGCCTTTTGCGCTTTAATGCGCTTTAGGGACATCACGGGTTACAGAACGCCTTGTCACGAATGCCCTTAAGAAAACGGATCATGGTACCTGGAGCCCTCACACGGCCAGCGAGGCTTGCGTCACTTACGCACTCGGCTAGGGGTTTTGGAGTCACTGCCGATGCTGATCTCACAGCGAAATTCCCAAACGGCAGAGATAGGCGCCCAGGATCATGCTATCATGGCCTGTGCCTTCCAGATCCAGGTTTATCATGGTCCGCGTTGGCGGCGGTCATCACCACGACTTTTGACAGGAACTGCTATGGGGCACAAGAGACAAACCCCCTCTGAACTTCATGGCGTAGGCAGTGCAGTTGCTTCTTAAGCCTGCCTAATGACCTGCGCGAGTCAAGTTATTCACACCATCTTTACTGCAGCACGCAGCTGAGCCCACCTGAATCTGATCCCTCAACCGGGTGAATCCAAGCCGGTTGAGAACTGCTGGTGTCAGTTCTGAATAGCAGGACAAAGTCCTACACTTGCGGCTGTTGAAGGAAGGTACTTGCACCCATGCTGGGCCTTCTTGCATGACAGCGCTTCATAGCACGCAAACAACTTCCCCAAACAGCCTGGCTACGCCTGAGATAAAGCGTAGACATGCATGGAGGGTGCAGGCCCCAGGAGTTTACCTGCACAAAAGTCCCCGGGCCTGACCCCACAGCGGTGGATAAGCAATTGACTGGGCTTGAGATCTGAAGAACCATTGAATTTGGACCAACCATGGGACTTTCAACAAACGCCGGACCGGGATAACATCCTGACGGCCTGACCCCTGCAAGCGACATGTTCAGAAACATCATGCTGGATTCACACTTAACCACGTGCAGGATAAAATCCTGCAGCTGCAGCCCTCA